TAATACTGGCAATTATTAAATGGTAAGGTTCTATTCCATGTGGAACAGTTTGTGAATATGTCTTTTTGTTTATCTAAATGTTATATCAGAAAATAATGTGTCTTGAATCTATAAATAATTATAATAAAGGGAAAGTAAGGTTAAATGATTGTCCCAAAATTTAACTACTGATTTTGGGTTATTAGGGATATGCTTTAAACAGGAGTATTTCTGTTTATTTCTAATTGAATGAATACTTACATTCAGAGATGTGGCTTTTACACATTGTTCAGTGATTAATTTTTTTGTGTTCATTCATAAGGTAAGTTAGTGGTATAAGTGGTTTTTAAATATTAGACTTAATAGCCTCTGTGTACTGACTTAATGGAATTTGATTTAAAGAGGAACCAAGTAAAAAGGCAAGAATCAAACTTATTAGATAATTTGAAACTCCAGGTTTGCAGAAAGAATGGTTTTTAAAAATCAAATTTAAAAGTTAATATTTAAACAAAAGATCCTTAGGTTGTGTGATTTCTTTCCACCAGGAACAACTTCAGGAAATAATCATGAAGAGAAGAACTTTTGAAGTGCCCATGTGTGATGATCTTCACTTTGGTTTTGATACCATGAAATAACGGCTAATTTAGTTTTACATTTTGTACAACTTAATGTATTGTAGCATTGATGGAATTGCTTTTATTACTTTACTTTTAGTTTTAAAAATATTTAGTGAAAAATGTAGCAGGCTTGTTTTATCTAACATTAGGAACTTTCCAAACATGGGGTACTAAGAATGAGCAGACTGGGTAGTGCTCCCTAGTTTCTACTTGTTTTTTTCTTCATACTGGTATTCCTTCTGAGACATCTTAATAATTGGTTTAGCTTTTGTCATTAAAAGAATAGAAATATACATAGAAAAAATTTTATAGTATACATAGAGAAATGGTTGGCAATTTATGAATAAAGTGTACCAAACAGTATATCTGAATTAATTTTGGGTTTTGAAAACTTCCAAAGTGTCCATAAAATTCAGATATTTAATATTTTAGACAATTTAGCTTTATGTCTCATGTATGTGTGTTACCCTTCCCATTTTCTCCTGTTTCCTAACAACTAAAAATTTGTAATTGTAAAACTTTAATATATTTGCCAGAGTAGCTTAAATGGAAAATTTGTGAAGCTGTACATAGCTGTGATTTTATAGTGTGCTTCTTATTAAGCTTATATGAACCACCACTTTGTAGCTTTAAGAATGATCTGCTTTTGGAATTTATAGTGGCAACATTGTAGCAACTGTGTTAAGATTTCTTCCTTTAACTATTTTGAACCAACATCCTATTTTCATTGAACTTAAGATGCCATAAATGGTACGACAGTCCGTTATGTGCCCTTAGAAAAAAAACCTAACGAGAAGTCTAAAATACTCCGCAGATAAAGCTGGGAGACCAAGGGGCTATTCGCTTCATGTGAAGCAAGAAGTAAACCTTCCATGCAAAAAGGGATGACAAAGTAACTTTTGAATGCCTCAACTTTGATTATTTGGGCTGAGGAAGGGGAAAGTCACTTCTGAGGATTTGAACCACAAATCTCATAAGCTTGCAACCTGGATCAGTTTGGTATTAAAACAAAATAATAATGGATAACTTAGAAAATTTTAATCATTTCATATTGATGGTGCTGTCAAGTAACTGGCCTAAATCAACACAAAACCTCTGAAAGAATTCAGATGGGTTGATACATGTATCCCCATATTATGTGTATCCTAGAGTTAATGAAAAAAGGAAATCATAACATTTCCACAAAGTAGAGTCTTCAGGCTTTGGGAGACAGGTTTTTTGTGATGCTCTGGAAGAGTTCTTAATTTGTCTGATTCTTGTAATAACTTCTCATAAGAATGTAACATTTTCCCTATTTATGTTTTTGTTATTTGGTTTCATGCTAGTATTACAGTATTGGTTTAAAATTATGTTAATCTACTTTTAGATATTCAGCTGTACATAATCTTTCCAATGTTTGTCCAGTTGAACAAGCCTAACTAGTTGATGCCCCTCAGAATTTACAGAGATATGAGGGAGAATTTAGATTTTTATTTAACACTAAATCTCATTCATATAAGTTCCACAAATGTAAAACCCTGTTTTGAAATAGAGTTGCGGCTCAGAATGCCAACCTCAGAAATCGGGGAATGGAAGGTGCAAAGACCCCAGACTCAGGTTTTACCTCTGGGGAAGACTGCCACAATGTTTCATTGCCTTGGTATTTGGACACTCCTCAGCCTTGACAAGTGTGGTCCCTTTAGGGTCAGTCCTCAGACTACATGAAGAGAAGGGCTGGCAGGACTCCCTCAAAGCTGGGGTTCAGTCTCCTCTGCTTCTATTTGTTGCTACAAAATCAACATTGACTGTTCATCATCTTTCTATTTGAAATATGTAAAGAAAATCTACTTGTAAGAGGCTTAGGTGATCTTATTTAGCTAAAAGGTAACTGTAAGGGGCGCCTGGGTGGCTCAGTCGCTAAGCGTCTGCCTTTGGCTCGGGTCGTGATCCCAGGGTCCTGGGTTCAAGCCCCATATCCGGCTCCTTGCTCGGTGGGAGGCCTGCTTCTCCCTCTCCCACTCCCCCTGCTTGTGTTCCCTCTCTCACTGTGTCTCTCTCTGTCAAATAAATAAAATCTTTAAAAAAAAAAAAAAGTAACTGTAACCCCTGTAGCAATTGGAAGGTGAAGAAACAGTTGGTTTTGGGGGCTGGGGAGGGGGTGGGGAAGAAACCAAAACACTAAGTCTCATTCTATAACCAGTTCCACGAGTTTTAGGCTAAAGGCAAATTTTTGAGATGTTTTAAAATTTGAAGTGGGGAAGAAGAACAATTGAGAAAATTCTGTCAAACTCTGTTCTTTAATGATTTTTAAATATTGTTTGCTTTAAGTGTCACTGGCCTTTTCTAGTCAATTCTTATTAAATTGTTTAAGGGTTTTTGTCCCTTGTTTTTCAAATGGGATTTGATCACTGTCTTATGAAGACAGAGTATTTCAGTTTGAAGTTACATTTCTTTGTACTGCTACCATGTGGAGATGTTCTGTTGCATGATGGAGATTTTATCCCACTTTTCTTAATGTCTTTAATTCTTTTTTTTTTTTAAGATTTTTATTTATTGGGGCGCCTGGGTGTCTCAGTAGTTAAGTGGCTGCCTTCAGCTCAGGTCGTGATCCCAGGGTCCTAGGATCAAGCCCCGCATGGGGCTCCCAGCTCCGCGGGAAGCCAGCTTCTCCCTCTCCCACTCTCCCTGCTTGTGTTCCCTCTCTTGCTGTGTCTCTTTGTGTCAAATAAATAAATAAAATCTTTAAAAAAAAGATTTTTTTTTATTTGAGAGAGAGATTGAGAGCAAGCGAACGAGCATGGGGGGGTGGGATCAGAGGGAGAAGCAGATCCCTGCTGAGCAGGGAGCCCAATGCAGGACTAGCTCCTGGGACTCCAGGATCATGACCTGAGCCAAAGGCAGTCGCTTAACCAACTGATAGACCCAGGCACCCTTAATGTCTTTAATTCTTACGAGAAAATACTTTTTTCTCAAGTTTTCAAAGTTGAGTTTTTCAGTTTAGTTTAGAATTCTAGTTTTTGGATATGTTAACAGCTTCGGATTTTATATATATGCCATTTTAAATAATCAGGCTCCTTCCCTCTGTTGCTCACCATGCTTCTCCCCATAATCAGTTATTTAGAACCTTAAGAATTCATGCCTACTTTGCCATTAGCCTTAAGTAAAATTAGTTGTGAAGATATATTTGTTGGGAGTAGAGAAAAGAGGGAACTTCTGAGCCTGGTTCTCATTTGATCACTATGTTTTTTTCCCTTAATGTATAAATTACCTTAATTCTTTTAGTCACAGTGGTGGAGGCTTGTGCTTCTGTTTTCAAATTCTGTACCTTTTTTTTAACTGCTGTTTCACCATATATTCCAAGTAGTAGTCACATGTTTTCTGTCAAGTTCCTGTTTCATGATGTTTAAGCAATTTATTGAATATTTTAAGGAATAAAAAACATTTGTTTTTTAATCCATTAATACAATGCTGCTTCATTTTAATGGTACTTTAGCCTGGTTCTGCTTTGTGAGTTGATTTTCCCAAATAACAAAATTCAGTGTGCAAGTGTTCTCATCTACCTTTAGTAGGCTTTATATGTTCCTGTTGACCAGTATGCTTGTCTGTTTCTATTTCTCCAAGTTTCATTTAATTTGAAACTGTTGAATACCTGGTTACCTTGTTCCAGTACTTATGATGATTGTGTACAATTTTTATTCCCCTCCGTATTTATGTTAGATTTGCTCATATTAAAATCAAAATTATAATATGGATGAGTATTGGGTCAGAATCCTTTGGAAATTTATGTTAATCTTCATGATTTTTATTCATACTTAGTAGTGAAGATTCATAGATTTAGATAGCAGTCATTGATAGACTAGATTAACCTCCAAAACTAATATTTTCTTTCTTCAGATATTCATGGTGTGTGCTTTATTAAGTTTTTCTTTTCAAGAGAGGACATAGATGATTTGTGTCTAAAGTTTGTTTTTTACATATTTTTTATAGTCATCAAGTTTTAAGCACCTTTGATCTTGAATTTTTTAAAGAGCCAGATTGCTGTAGAATTTTTTAATACAGATATTAATAGTCAAAGGTGAGAAATACAAAAAATTTTTGTCTTGCTCTAAAAAAGGGAGAAAAACATGAGTGGTGAGTTAAAAGAAAATTAATATTCTCAAAATGACATTGGAAATAATATAAGTAAACTTTTAAGTTTGTTAAAAGTAATTTTAACTGTACATATAACTTATGACAAATATTAGCTCATTGATAAAATACTTCATTCATTCAACAAGCACTTACTAAGCATACTATTCATGTAGTATAGTGTTCGCTGGGTTTAAATCTTGAGTTGTACATATTAGCTTTGATAACCAGATAGATTAATAAAGTTCTTTAAATGCTTTGGTTTTATATAGTAACCTTTTTTTACTTTTATTCTAGATGCCTGGAATGATGTCTTCAGTAATGCCTGGAATGATGATGTCTCATATGTCTCAGGCTTCCATGCAGCCTGCCTTACCGGTAATCTAGTAAAAATAATTATTTTCTGTGATGTTTTGACTACTTTTATATATGAAATAACATCGTTCTATGTATTTTATAGGCAATCGTTAGCTTTTTAAGTGTGTCTTGAGTAGTGTAATGCAAGATGGGAATTACAGTGGGTTTTTAGGTTCTTGAATGATAGGCATTCACGTTTTTTCCTGTATTTATACAGACATCCTTAATTGTTATTTCTACGTTAAACAGGAGTAGAATACTAAGAACTAAAATTTGTCAGCCAGAAGCATTTTATTGGTCTGGTGACATTCTGATCTTAAAGAATAGGCTTTTGCTTTGCTGGGTTTTAATTTAAAATTGTTGTATTATGGTTTAGTAATAGATCCTAGATTTGGAAATCAGAAGATTTTATTCTAAATTTACATTTCCTGAGACTTCAGTGATGGCACATTACTTACAAAATCCTTGACAGCCTTATCACCCTTACTGGATTGTATAGCAATATGTAAATCATTATGATATTCATATTAGCATAACTTATTTATTACCTGACAACCTAGTGGTTGTAATGAACATACTCCACTTGGGGTGTTATGTTTGCATTGTCTTACCCAAAATCCTTAGACCATTAAAATGTTTTAATATTATAAAATAATACTTTGCATATTCTATGTATTGTATAAAAAGTTCTCTTGGGGTTTAGGACAGTGCCTTATATAATTTCAAACACTATTTCTGTAGCAAACTTACGGATTTTCTCTGGGGTGGGATAAAGAGCTCATGTCATTCAGAGCAGATTTTGCCACTATAATGAGTGTTGGTGTGAAAGTTGAAAAAACTTGATTTTTAGAGCTTTTTCTGTATCAGAATTGTGGGTAAATGTTTGTGAATCTATATGTAACTGATGATCATATAAATAACACACTTAGATTAAAGTGCTTCGATAGCCCCAGGTTTATGATGTTTTTACAATTTATAGCAAACTAAAGGAGCTAAAACTTAGAATCTTTGAATATACGTAAAGGGGACTCTGTGCTTTATGAGGAACTTATATAAAATATAGTTTAAACAAGGTGAATATTACTAATTTCATTTTTTAATCTTACAGCCAGGAGTAAATAATATGGATGTAGCAGCAGGTATGTACACCATTTATGGTGGTAAATATTAGACTTCATTTGGACAGTAGCTATCATAACAAGGAATAAAAGCAATGTCACTTTGGCTTTATGATTAGCTCCTGATTTTTTTCTATCTTTTTGTTGTTTTAAGCAATGGAAAGTAGGGATAGCATTCATAATTGACTCCATAAAAAACTACCATAATTTTAGATCAGGAGTTCTGGGACCAGATTTGGTCTACAGTTATACTTTAGCCTATACAATGTTTTTAAATTTTATAATTAGTTGCTAACATTTAAAGTCTTGGTCCATACATAACAATTAGATTTATCTTTTTACAAAAAGTTTGAATTTATCTGAGTATTCATTGTTTACAGTGGTGTTTATCAACACAGTAGGTAGTCAGAGAATATTTAAATGAAAAGTTCTGGTTGAGTCCCTGTTTGTATTCAGCAGACACTGTGGAATGGGGTAGTAACTCCTTACTTTGGATATGGAGCATGTACTCTCATTGGCCTTCTGGACTACTTTACAGTCTTTTCTGTTACCTGCTTGGTCCTTGTAGCCGTTGGAGTTTGTAAGCCTTGTGATAATTTTTTTTATCAGCCAGTTATTTATTACTGTTTTGACTAGTGTACCTTTCATATATATTAGTAATGCTTCAATTATCCATGAGTAAATAATGTTCCAGATAAATTGGTATTCCAGATGCTGAACTTTTTTTCCATGATTATGCCAAAATGTTTTTTGTTTTTTTGGTTTGGTTTGGTTTTTAGGGTGCAGAAGAGGGACAGGCGGAGAGGGAGCAAAAGAGAATCTCAAGCAGACTCCACACCCAGGGTGGGGTCCTACGCAGGGCTTAATCTCACGGCCCTGAGATCAAGAGTCAGACATTTAACTGACTGAGCCGCCTAGGCACCCCTAAAACATTTTTTGTTTTGAACATGTTTTGAAACATTTAAAATGCAGCATTTTCCTACAGGTTTATATGGGGGCATAGTTGATCTTTTTAAGATGTTTCACAGATTTTTTTATTTAAGCTGAAATGAATTTCTGAAATACCTAGTATAATATTTTGCCTATTTAGATATCTAGAGCTGATTACTATTACCCTAAATAATCCTGGAACATTACCTTAAAAATTTTTTTAATTGAAGTATAATTGACATACAATATCCTGTTAGCTTCAGATGTACAACATTGTGATTTGATAATTTTATACATTACAAAATGATCCCCACAATAAGTCTAGTTACCTATCCATCACCATCCAGAGTTATTACTATACGATTTTTTATGCTGTACATTACATTACCTTGACTTATTTTATAACTGGAAGTTTGTATCTCTTAATCCTGTTCACCTATTTTGCCCTCCCCACTTTGGTAACCAACATTTTGTTTCCTGTATCCTGAGTGAGAAACAGACTCAAAATTTCTTCTTAATTACTTTTTAAATGCTTTGGTTTTACCAGCGATGTCCATAGTAGCCTCTTTTGATTGTTCTGTGTGTTTTATTCCTTTTTTACATATAGTTCTTGTTTTCTTTTTCACACATAGTTTTAGGTTACTAGTTTCTAAAGTTGAAACTTACTCATTTGAACTTGGTGGCTAATGGGCGTTTTCCCTTATGGCTAGAGGGGTATTGATAATAATTTAGGACCGTACCATCTAATAGACTTTTACGCAATTAAGGAAATGTTCTGTAATCTGTAGTGTTCAGTAGAGTAGTCATTAGCCACATGTGATTCCTGAGTACTTGAAATTGGCTAGTGCAAAGGAGGAACTGAATTTTTAGATTTTATTTAATTAAAAATTTTTAACAGGAACATGTGGTAGCTAATGGATATTGTATTGTACACCACAAGTCTGAAGTTTATATAGTTGAAGGTGCTGTAGATCTAAAGCATAGAATCTGAGGTCTGTGGCATTATTTTATTTCAGTAGTGTCGTAGAGAAAGGAATTAGTTAACATAGACACGTATAATAGCAAGAAGAGAAACAAAAGGCAAGGAATGTGAATACTTCTCCAGTGGGATCCAAGTGAATTTGCAGTTTAAAAGTTCAAAGTGCCACTTAATTCTGAAAATGCTTTGCACTGTATAGGTTTATTTTGTAAAAAAGAAAGCATGCACATAAATCATACAGAACAATCTTAGGATATTTAGTGTGACAGGCTAAGGAGGAATAAATAGTATGAATAAATATTTTTAAAATGTTCACTCAAGGAGACCATGATTTATCACATTGTAAATATTGTTCCTTTATTTTTTTAGGTACAACATCTGGTGCAGTAAGTACCTCTGGAACATAATTATTTTATTATACTTCTTTAGCCTACAACATTGATTCTTATTTCTATTTTAAAGATTATCTGCTAACTTGAATCTTTTCCTTTCTTTTCTATGCCAAAGGTTGAAAAATTGTTTAAATGATTTATCTTAAAATTTAATTTTGATGGGAATAATGAGAGAAAAAGGAATCAGATATATATCAGATTTTACAAAGATTTTAATTTTTCCCTCCTGGTACAGTTAGAAGGGAAACAGAACCTATAGGTATACAGTAATTAACCTGATAATTTTCACATAAGGTTTACATTAGGAGGTACTCATATACAAAAATTTATGTACCCTTGTTTATTACTGTAAACCCAATGTAGACTTTCTAATATACAGAATTTAAAATACTTTGCTTGTACCTTTCCTAATGGTGTCAGAAAGACAAATACAGTATTCAGAATTGCTTGGTTTTTGTTGTTGGTTTTTTTTGTTGTTTTTTTGTTTGGTTGTGGTTTTTTGTTTCGTGGTTTTTTTTTTCGCTCCTTAGGAAAGGAGAGAATGCTATTGCTATGCTGCATTTCTTTTTCTCCATACTTGATTTTTTAAGATAGTAGTTAGTTATTTTTGCTAATGTTTCTGTATATGGTGTTTTGTTACATATTTTTATTATGTTTGGGAAAATAATGTAAATCTGAAAGCCTCACTTAAAGATGCTTATTTTTTGCTTATTGATAATAGCTATGCTCTTTGGCCTCAAGGTTTTCTTTGATTTTTTGTTTGTTTATTAATTCCTTAAAGATCAATGGAAAGAAGAGGGTGTTTTGTTTGTTTGTTTTGGGGGGGATAAGGGGGCAGGGTGAGAATCTTAAGCAGGCTCCACGCCCAGCATGCAGCCAATGCAAGGCTCAGTCACACAATCCTGAGATCACAACCAGAGCCAAAATCAAGAGTCAACTGCTTAATCGACTGAACCACCCAGGCACCCTAGAAAAACGAGTTTATATGTATAATCTCATTTAATCAAAATAGTCCTGAGAGGTAGCTGTTATCCCCATATTATGGTTGGGGAAATGCAAAAAGCTGTGAACTGATTATAAATATGGGGGGAAAGACTTTTAATTGTGGACTCTATTTAAATGTTTTAAAGTTTCTTGTATCTTCTGCTTTAAAAGTTGAATGGTTATTAGGGGGGCCTCATGGCTCAGTTCGTTGAGTGTCCAACTTCCACTCGGTTCATGATCCTCATGGTCATGAGATCCAACCCTGAGTTGGGATCTAAGCTTGGCGTGGAGTCTGCTTGAGATTCTCTCCCTTCTCCTCTGCCCCATCCCTGCTTGCATGCAGGATCTCTCTTTCTCTCTCAAATAAATAGATAAAATCTTTTTTTTTAAGATGATTTCTTTTTTATTTTTATTTTTATTTATTTATTTGACAGCGAGAGAGGGAACACAAATGGGGAGTGGGAGAGGGAGAAGCGGGCTTCCCGCTGAGCAGGGAGCCTGGTGGGGGGCTGAATCCCAGGACCCGGGGATCACAACCCAAGCCGAGGGCAGACGCTTAACCAACTGAGCCACCGAGGCGCCCCAATAAAAAAATTGTCTTTTTAAAGTTGAATAATTATAAAATATGTATGTGGTATTCTTCCATTATAAGTGCCTGTTTATATTTTTAACCAGTGATAGCTTCATGTTTCTTTCTGTTTATTTAAATAATGCAGGCTCGCTTGAGGGATTAAGAAGTAGACATAGTTAAAAAGAAGAAAGTAAAATTTCACCCTAATGCTTTCCACCTTGAGGGATTGACCACCGTGTTTTGGTTGTGTCAGTTGTTTGTCAAACCTTTTTTTTCCCAATTGAGGCTATATTTTTTTGTTAAGATTTTATTTATTTGAGAGAGGGAGAGAGCACACGCACATGAGCAGGTGGGGGGATGAAGGGAGGGATAAGCAGACTCCCTGCTGAGTGGGGCTGGATTCCAGGACCCTGGGATCATGACCTGAGCTGAAGGTAGATGCTTAACAGACTGATCCACCCAGGTGCCCTGAAATATCTTTTTTTTTTTATCATATATTAAATTCATACATATTCTGGCATCTACTTCTGAGTTTTCTTTTCCATTGGTACATTTTTCATCCAGTATTGCACTTTTTTTTTTTTTTTTTTTTAACAGCTTTAATATTTAGTAAGGTGGTGCTTCTGGGTGGCTCAGTTGGTTAGGCAGCTGGCTCCTAATTTCACCTCAGGTCATGATCTCAGTCTCAGGCTCTGCGCTCAGCAGGGAGTCTGTTGGAGGATTCTCTCTGCTCCTCCCCCACGTTTGTTCTCTCTCTCTCTCTGTCTTTCTCTCTCATATAAATAAATAAATCTTTAAAAAAATAGTAAGGCAAGTCTTCATGGTTTCTCTTTTCATTATATCCTTAGCTGTTTTCAGATATTAGTATATGAATTCCAGTATCCCCCTCCAAAAATAATCTGTAAATGTATACATACCCTGACACACTCAAAAGACAAAATTGTGTTTTTATCTGGGATTATATTTAATTCATTTCAGTTTTGGAAGAATTGACACTTTCTACTTTTCTATTAAATCTTCCCATCTAAAAATACTGTGTATTTGAAAACTTAATATTTGCTTTAATTCTTTTTAGATTTTGGGTACACAGGGGCGTCTGGGTGGCTCAGTTGGTTAAGCATCTGCCTTTGGCTCAGGTCATGGTCCTGGGGGTCCTGAGATTGAGGCCTGCGTTGGGCTCCCTGCTCAGGTCCTGCTCCTCCTCCCTGCTCCTCCCTCCTCTTTGCCCCCCCCCACTCATGTGCACTCATGCTTGCACACTCTTATCTCTCTTTGTCTCTCAAGTAAATAAATAACATTAAAAAAAAAGATTTCTGATACACAAATTTGAGTTACTTAAACTCTACAGATTATGGTCACTGTCGTTGATCTTTGGAGGATTCCGCACATTTTTTCACTTTATGCTTCATCTTTACTCCCATCCCTACAGCACCCTCCCTAATGGGTGCTCACTTTGATATGTGCCCTAAGACATGCATGTATTGGGAAAAGACTGAAATTTTTTGTGTAGATATTTTTGTGTGTGTTTTTTTCCTTTTTTCTTTACATATTTCATGTTTATTTTTTTGTTGAGGTGTAATTGACATAACATTTTAGATTGTACAAAATTATTTGGTATTTATATACATGGTAAAATGATCACAATAAATTTAGTTAACATCTGTCTGCATATGTAGTTACAGATCTTTTTCTCTTGTGGTGAGGACTTTTAAGATTTACTCTCATAACAACTTTGAAATATGCTGCACAGTATTAACTAGTCACCATGCTGTACATTACATCTCCATGACTTACTTATTTTATAACTTGAAATTTGTACCTTTTGACACTCTTCACCCATTTCAAACCCCCACCTGCAGTCTGTTCTCTATATCTGAGTTTGGACATGTGAGATAATACAGTACTTACCTTTCTCCGTTTGACTTATTTCAGTTAGCACGATAGCACGATGCCTTCAAAGTCCCTCTGTGTTACTGCAAATGGCAAGATTTCATTCTTTTTATAGCTGAAGAATAGTTTTCCTCTGCATGCGTGTGTGTGTGTGTGTGTGTGTGTGTGTGTGTGTGTGTGTGTGTATTCCACATCTTTATCCATTTATCCATCCAGGGACACCTAGGTTTTTTCTGTATCTTGGCTGTTGTAAATAAGGCTGCTATGAACCTGGGAGTACATCTATCTTTTTGAGTTACTGTTTTCATTTTCTTTGAATAAATACCCAGAAGTGGTATTGCTGGATTGTATGATAGTTCCATTTTTAAGTTTTTGAGCAGCCTTCATATTGTTTTCCATAGGGACTATACTAGTTACATTGTCACCAACAATGCATGAAGATTTCCTTTTCAGCGACACCCTCATAACACTTATTATCTGATTTTGATAATAAGCATTCCAACAAATATAAGGTGATACCACGTTGTGGTTTTGATTTGCATTTCCCCAATAGTGATGTTGAGCATCTTTTCATATGTCTGTTGGCCATCTGTATGTGTTCTCTGGAAAAATATCTATTGAGATCCTCTGCCCATTTTTTAATCAGAGTATTCGGGGTTTTTTGCTGTTGAGTTGTATGAGCTCATTATATATTTTGGATATTAACCCTTATATACATGTTTTGCAGATATTTTTCTCCCATTCGATAGGTTGCTTTTTCCTTTTGTTGATGATTTCCTTTGTTGTGCCAGGAGGTTTTAATTTGATGTAGTCCACTTGTTTATTTTGCTTTTGTTGCCTTTGTTCAAATCAGGTCCAATAAATCATTTCTAAGATTGATGGTCAAGGAGCTTTTACTGCCTATCTTTTTTTCTAGTTTTATGGTTTCAAGCTTTACATTCACGCCTGAATCCTTTTGGGTTAATTTTTGTGCATGATGGAAGACAGTAGTCTGGTTTCATTCTTTTGCATGTGGCTGTCCTTTCTTACATATTCCTGCCTCCTTTGTCATAAATCAACCATTTATGCATGAGTTCATTTCTGAGATCTTATTTCTGTTGTATGGATCTATATGTCTGTGTTTCTGCCAGGACTATACTTTTTGATTACAATACCTTGGTAGTATAGTTTGAAAGCAGGGAGCATGATGCCTCCCGTTTTGATTTTCAGATTGCTTTGGCTCTTCAGTCTTTTTGTGATTCCATCCAAATTTTAGGATTATGTGTTATATTTCTCTGAAAAGTGCCTTTGGAATTTTGATAGGGATTACATTGAGTCTGTAGATTGCTTTGGGTAGTATGGACATTGAACAATATTAATTTTTTTCAATCCATGAGCATGGAATGTCTTTCTATTTATTTATGTCTTTAATTTTTTTTTATTAGTGTCCTAGTTTTCACTTGTGCAGATCTTTCACCTCCTTGGTTACATTTTTTCCTAGGTATTTTATTATTTTTGGTGCAATTGTAAATGGGATTTTTTTCCTTAATTTTTCTTTCTGATAGTTTGT